GAATAATCAAAGCTATAAAGTGTTTGCAGTGATACTAGAGTTTTGTCTGTTAAGAAAAATTGCCAAAGGTAATTAGATTGGTATGACTCCTTTGATTAGTTGATACCAAAGATTGTATAATTTAGTCTTTTGAAAAAAAAAACACTTTATATATTTTTTTTACGACGGATGTGGAATTGGAATATGAAACATCCCCTTGTTGGGGTTAATAGACAATTAATTAGGGTTAATCTTTTGCAATCAAATGATGTGTATCGATGATGCTATAGATCAACTAAATGGAGTTTTGTGTTTCTTTGAATAATATAGAGAAAACGGATTTGAAAAAGCTTTAGATTATGCAAAAGAATTGGCTTTAGAAATGAACGTAAAACCTGAATTTCGTGAAAAACGTATCATTCAAAGAAATAGATGATATGATGAAAATGTTGCTAATGAAACTATTAAAACTCCTGTTCAGTTATTTAAAACTGATTACTTTTTATATATAATAGATAAAGCCATTATCTCACTTAAAAGTATATTTGAGCAATTTAACAAGTTCAAAAAATATTTTTGGTTTTCTATTCAGTATAGAAAAGTTAAAATCATTTGATGAAAATAAATTAAAGAACATTGTTTAAATCTTGAAAAATCTTTAAAGCATGATGACAGCTTAGATATTGATGGTTTGGATTTATTTCATGAACTAAAACTTTTAAGACATATTGTACATTTAAAACGTGATACAACTATTAATATACTTAATTATATTAAAAAGTTTAATTCTTTTTCAAATGCATATGTTGTCTATAGGGTTATATTAACTATTTTTGTAATTGTTGCCTCTGTAGAAAAAGTTTTTCTAAATTAAAATTGTTAAAAAATTATTTAAGATCTACAATGTCACAAGAATAATTAAATGGATTACCGATTTTGTCAATTGAAAAACATTTAGTAAAAGAAATTGATTATGAAAATTTCATTAAATAATTTGCTTCTAAAAAGGCTAGAAAAATTAACTTTATGTTATAAAATATATTCACAAAAAACTTATACACAAAAAAAATAATAATAATAATAATAAATAATAATAATAACTCCGCCATTTGTAAACTTTTTAGCTTATTATTGACGGTCCCAAGCCCAGATAAAGGATGATGGTTTATAACATTAAGTATAGTAAATGTCAGAGGTCCCCAAATTTTTGGTTTGCTTAGAGCCCCCAAACTTGTAGTATTCAACACCATCGTCCTGCCACCATCAACGCCGACTCCATCATCTTTTCCCTGTTTTCGTTTTTGTTTGCTGACATGCACATCGAATTATAATAGAGAAGAAGGAATTAGAAAGTCTTAGCCGTGATTGGTTAATAAGATTAAGAGTCGGGACTCTATTTCTAAAGAAGGTTGTTGGCGATGATACCATATCTTGGAAGCTAGTACTTTCCCGGAGCTTGGAGGCTCGATATTCTTCCTTTTCTATGCTTCTCGGTTTTGAGAGAGGGAAAAGGCGTGAAGCGATTTTGAGAGAAGGAAAAGGGGTGAAGCGATTTTGAGAGAAGGAAAAGGGGTGAAGCAAGCAAAGAGCATGGGAAGGAGCTATGTTTTTCATTAATAGAAATAGAGATTAGGATGGTGTCGGGGATGAGGAGGGAGGAAGGGAGCTCCAATATTCTTTGTTTACACACAGGGGCGGAACACAAACAATAATGGCTAGGGGGCCAAAACTAAAAAAAAAGACCATATAAAAATGTTTAATTTTTGTTCCAAATTGTCACAGTTAATGTATACATTTGTAAGAAAACTTAGTAAACTATAAAAGATAAAAATAACATTAACATAAAATATTATTATGGATTTTTCATTCTAAAATATCTAAATATCGAAAATCCTACTTACTCCATTTTATTAACCCTAACTTTGTTACCCCTACACATATCTTCTTTTATTTATGTGTAAAACCTATACATACACCTTTATTACCCCTATACATACTCATATTTGCAGGTAAATTCATGACTAAATATTTATAATATAAATATATATAAATGAGATACTTATATGTATCTAGAAATGAGAGAGAGTAAGAGACGAAGAGGAAATGTGTACCTTTGTAGTGTAGTCTGTTGGGGAAATACGAAATAGGTATAGAGAAAATATGGATAACAAACAGGAATCGTGTAAAACACTTTCCTTGTTTGATATTTTGACCCTATATGCCTTGGGTATCACGAAATCCAAACTGGGATAATTCTATTGTAGCAATTCAGATTTTAGGCATGAAATCTGAATCAATTTTGAGAAGATGAAGAGAGCATTTTTTCCGATTTTCTGTGTTTCAAAAGGATCCGTTTTCCCTGATTTATCCAACAACGGATAAATTAAAACAGTTGTCATCTTTCAAAAATTACAAATCTGACCTTGTACTGTTCTTAAATTAGGGTTCGGTACTAACAATGTTTAGTAAATACAAGTGTGCACTCCCACACCTCCTAACTTGTATTATAACTAGAACATTATTCTTGAAACACTCATTACACTAAAATATATTTGTTGATAAAATCACCAACAGAGTCGGCGAAGAGTAAAGTAGTGGTGGTCTGGTGCCGGTGACTCGGGGAGGAGAGAGAATAAGGAGTCGACGGAGAACGGTCGATTGAACCTGAAAAAGGGAGAGAGCAAGAAGTCCGGTGAGTTGTAACTTGAAAGAGTATGGAAGAGTTATGATTTCAATTCAAGGAAAAACTACCTATCATCTTCTCTTCTGGTTTCAATGCATAACTCCGGTGAGATGCACGAAAACAAGCGGAGCCAACAATATTTTTAGGGTTCACTGATTTAAATATGTAAGTTAATAAATAATTTCATGGTATTTTTATATGGTTATTTTGTAAGTTTCTTACTTTTTATATGGTTAATTTATAAATTTCCTACTTTATAGTCAAATTAGTTTTACTGAAGTTTCCTAATTTTCTAAACAATTTAAGATTAATTACTGATATTCAATAGAAAAAAAACACGAGGGGCAGTGTTACAATCTTTTAAATAATTAACTTATATAAACACCCATTCTATATACAACCACCGATTCTATAGATATTCCTATTTAATTGATAATAAAAAAACAGGGGGCCATGGCCTCCCCTAGCCTCTTCTATGTCCCGCCACTATTTACACACACGTACACACAAACACACACACACAGAACGGTTTCTCAAAAAAAAGGGGACTCAAATATAGAGTCTCAACTCTTGATCTTGTTGATCAATCACAACCAAGACCCTTACATTTCTTCTTCTCTATTTTAGTTCGATGCGTTGGTCAGCAAAACAAAAACCGAAAACAGGAAAAAGATTATAGAGTCAACACTCATGGTGGTGAGACTATGGTGATGAATAGGATCGGGGTCACTTGTGGCTGAAAGATAGGCCGATGGTTTATTGATTGCATTTTTTGACGCTTCCCCTTCCTCCCTATTTATTGTTTTGTGAAGTTCAAAGAACAAGTAAGAAAGTCGATTACTAGGTTATAACATCGTGATTTTTTTACCAAAACTTTTTCGTATTATTTAAATCACTTTTAACACAATACGTTAATGGAAGACTTAGTTATTTATTTTAAAACTTTTTCAAATCACTATGTTACTTTAAAATCAAAATTATAAAACATAAAAAAGGTAAATGTTAAAAATGTTAAAACATCAAACTTGTCTATATTGGTGTCATCTGACCAAACATAATTACCACAAAAGTAACCTCTCTCACCAAGCAGAACTCCTAAGCTACCTGCACCAATCCTAAGACAAATTAACAAGAAACAAGTGTCAACCCATGCTGAGTGATTTCATAAAGGTTGCATGTAAAACATACAACTCTAGATGGGTCCATCATTCATATTACAATAAAGTATGAAAAAACTACTGCTTAGCAAACAACTGCATATCATAATCATTCAATCGCATGTTCAAGCACATACATACATATGTTCAGTTGCAATACTGCCACATAACATCTATGATCAACAACATACCATATAAACAACTGCGTAACATATAAACAATCACATATCATATATAACCAACCTTTTAATATATAACCAACCTTTCATTATATAACATTTTCATATATAACAAACCTTTTAATATATAACATATAAACAATCACATTTCATATATAACCAACCTTTCATTATATGTAATTCAACCTTTTAATTTAATATACAGTCAGCCTTTTACTATATAATCAACCTTTTCATATATAACCAACATTTTGTTATATATGATCAACCATAAGATAGGTAATAGTCGCTTAGTGCTACCTAACCCAAGAGAATCACCATGTTCACTACTTAAGTGCTCAACTAGTCAAATGCTCTAAGTGGCTTATGACTTACACCTGAAACACCAACTCCAAGACTCCACTTTTTCTACCTCGACTGTGCAAAATACAAGTGCTTCATAGATTCTTTCAGAACCCATAAAAATGCCATCACTACCTTAACACCTCCCGATACCCTTGTGATGCTTGCACTGATCTACAACTAAAGGACCAACGTTACTACAGTCCTTGAACATCGTACTGTCACGGGGTCTTCTAGATAGACCAGGCGACTTGCAACCTCTATGCCTTAAGTTTTTCCTATAGGTACTCTTTCAACGTAGTAGGCATCCTCAATAATCTGGATAAGGTTTTAAGTAAAGATGATCAACAACCCAAACCCTCTATCATACCCCGCAACAACATCCATACAAAAAGTAACACATGAAAGTTATAACAACTTAACGAGTACTAACACATGCATCATATTCAACAATAAAACATATAAACATAGTCATAAATCATTCCCACAACTACATAATATACATCAAATTCATCAAGGTGGAATCAACATAACAATTAATTTCGAATGTGTCACGTTACTAACGAGCATACCGTAACATCAAACTTATCACATCATATTAAAGCACAAGCAATATACAAAGTTCATAGCTTAGTACAATAAATCTCAGTTTTTTTTTGAATGGCAAATCTAATCTACTCCTACAGTACTCCTAATTCTCCACCTATGTCCCTCACGGGACTTGAACCTTCGACCTCAAGGAGGGAGGATAACACCGGATACCGCTGTACTAGAAGCCCTTTGGTAATAAATCACAGTTTAACACACAAAAAATATTCATTCACATCCATATTATAACTTAACACTCTTAATACAATTAATTCACAATTTAATACACAAAATTTACAGCTTAATATAATGAACGAACAATTTAATACACAAATTTCACATCTTATATTGTTAATTCATAGTTTAAACAGAAAATTCACATCTTAATAGAAGTTAACACTAAGATTATAAAAAACAAAAATGACAGATTAATTCACACCTTAATAGAAGAACGAAAACAATAAAAAAAATACATCGTAGATATCTATAATAGATGTAAGTAGAAAAATAAATATAAAACATGCATTGAGAGCTTAAAACTTATAAAAAAACATATATTTACAACTTAAACTTGTAACAAATCATGTATTCACAACATAAAACAAACATTTTCTTATTCATAACATTTAAAACTAATATTAACATGACTAAAAAATTAATAAAAATATTTAAACATCACAACTCACAACTTAAAAAACCTAGATTCACATTATTTGAGAAAACATTAAAATTAGTAACACATTTTAAATTCAATTCACATAACAACTAAAAAAACCTAAGTTATGAAACAAAAATCTATGCAAGTATCATAAAAAATAAGAACATAAACTTGGATTCACGTATTAATAACATTAGATTCACTACTTAATAGTAGTTAAAACTAATATTAAGAAAAGTAAACAATAAAATATATATTAAAACAATAAATTCACAGTTTAACAAAAGGAAAAATAATCAACACAAAAATTGACATATCTTATGTAGATCTGGTGGTGTTTCACTAGAGATCAGAGAGAAAAAGATGGAGACAAGTTGGTGGTGTTTCGCCAAATTAGAGACTTGAAGAAAACGAAATCAGATCCCGTCAGAGCTTGTAGACCTTTACATTGATGTTGATAAAAATCGCAGATCTAGATATTTATGGTGGCGAAAATCATAGATCTGGATCAGAAAACTTCTAATCTTGCAGTGGAGGAAACAAAGATGATAGATCTAGTGCGATAAAGCTCTGATGCGATGTAGACAGTAATGTTTCACTTAAGATGTAACTTGAAACACATCAGATCTAGTAGTTTTTCAACAAATATCAAAGAGGATGAGAAGGAGGCGAGAGAAATAGAAGGAGGCGACACATCTGATGGTATATCACTGGAGATCAGAGGATGACGATAACAGCGGTGACGATTGTTGACGATAGTGGTGGATCTTCGTTGCTTGTCAGAACTTGTAGATCTCGAACAGAAAATCATAGATCCAGTGGCGTTAATCTTGGATCTGAAACTAAAGATGTAGATCTGGAATCATTTGGAGCATACATATCTGATGGAAGTGATTGGTCGATGGTTAGAGGCGGCAACAGGGATGGTACGGTGGTGCTGGTAAAGTTGGTGTGTTCTTCATGTTTGATGAGAGAGTTGAAAGAGTTTGAGGGTTTGAGTGTTTGACACCTGATACATAATAATGAGTTTTAAGTTTAATTTGTCAAAAGAAAGTTGTTTTTAGGGGTCCTTAATCTTTTTTGTCTTTCATTTGAACCTTTACCTATATATATATATATATATATATATATATATATATATATATATATATATATATATATATATTACGTAATTAATAACAAACTCCTAAAGGAAAAATAGCAAAACACATTGGAAGTAAATGGGTCAAGCATGGAGGCTTCCCAACCCATTGCAACCTATTCGTCCATGCATAATGAAAAAGGCCACAAACCATGGCTATCTTATGTTTCTTTGCCCCGCTAGAATTCATTCTAGGAGCGTCATATGCATTCTAGGGCTCTAATTAAGGACAAACGTCAAAGTCATGGGTAACAAATTGCTAAGCCGTAACCGGTCCACATCGTGTACACTAGGAAAGATGTTGGTGATTATAGTGTCACCGTGACATTTTATGTAACTGGAATTAACATGGGAGCTAAAGGGCTTTAACATTTGTACTCTAATATATGTACGGGTTGGTGCGGAGTGCACGCATGTATAAGATCAAATTAGAAACCAGTTCGACGAGAAGTTGGGGTCCAGGGGCAACGCCCCTGGGTCTAGGGTTTCCACAGGGACGAGGTCCCTTTGGCGGGGTCTAAGGGCAGCGCCCCTAGCCGGGTCAAGGGGGCTCTGCCCCTGGATGGGTCTCGTTGAATTTTACATATGAGAACATAGTCGTAAATTCATATTATTGAGGGTGATTATGGTAAAACTAACGAAACTCGTTAGTTTTGGTAACCTTAAATCCGGATTACCCTGACTTACTTCCAAAGTAACTAATGACGGCCCAACCCTAATGAAACCCTAACCTTGTTTATTATATAAACGACTCTTCCTTTTGAGAAGGGGCACCCGAAAATTAGTTCTCATTTTCTTCATCCTCTCACAAAATATTTCTAGTAATTTGGCTTACGATTTCTGTGCCTAGAATCATAAGTGTCCACTTTGATTATCCTAGGTAGAATTTCTTGTAACCTAGGCATAAGGTAGAAATATCAGTTCAGAAAGTTTTCTCACGATCCAAGTTGGTATCCAGATCTTCACTACAAACCCTACTTTTTCCAACAAAAGAATCGACAGATACAAGAGCAAAAGAATATAGGGGTGACTCAGAAATTAAAGAATCGGGCAGCAGCATGGTTTCACGTCCTTCATGCAAATCTTACATGTACAGTCCTTGGGGTTGGATTCTAAACACCTATGGAGCGGAATAAAGAAAACTTACCAGCTCAAGAACCCTAGCCTTCCTTCTTGATCTCTCTCCCAAAATTTCTGCTTATGTCTCCCTCTTTCTTTCGTTTCTTTCTTTCTCTCTAACCACTGCAATACACAACGAAGCCAACTATCAACTCTAACGATAAGTATATACAATGATTAAGCATATACGAAATTATTCCTTATTACCACATGGTTGTGATTTAAATGACAAGTTACAACCTTAATCCTTGAACTTTTCTCCTTATTCCCAAATCCACCCCTTTCTTATTTTCTTTAACTCCTTGTTTGGGAATTTCCATAATGCCCCCTCCATTTTCATCAATATGTCAACTAGAACCTATTTCAAATCATTATGACAATGAATCCAATTTAATATTTATATATGTATTATTTTCCATCTTTAATCCGTTTTAATTGTTAATTAAATCATGTTTAATCTCGTTTTGATTATTTTATTATTTATTGAGCATATAATCTCACACCATAAATACACTTACACACGTAAAACTTAATCCTGCATACAGAAGACTAACTTCACTAAAATGAAGAATTTGGGTTGTTACACATGTGCAATCAAAACTGAAATAAAATAAACGATAATTAGAAAGGGATGGTGATACATGAAGGTTGTTGATTCAACGATTATATTAATAGATTATGATGGGTTGACTCTTTCATCTCTTAGGTCTTGTCTTTCTCTATGTGTATGCTAAGATTAAATCCATTCTGTTTATATTTTAGATTCAAATTAATTTGATTGTGTTCATTTGTTAAACGGATTTGTCCTCATGTATGTCATAGTATTCTATTCATTTCTATTTGTGTTCATTAACCTAAATTTAAAACCATTAAAAAAATCAAAGTTGGTTTATAGAAATGTTTGTGACTAGTAGTAGTGGTGGTGGTGGACTGTAGTGGTGGTGGAGGGTAATTGGAAATGTTGAGAGATCGGGTGAGGTTGGACCCTTTATGGAGAACAGATGGAGGGGTGGTAAGTATTTACTTTTTGTTTTTTTAGTTCAACAACAATTAATATAAAAATAAAATAAAAAAGGTAAATAAGTCGTTTTACATGGGTCATGGACCAACCAAGATAGAAATTGAAATCACATGGATCTTTCATGAGGTCGAAAAAAGTTAATGATGATTTATGAAAATTACTCTTTTGATTACAATATATAGAGTATATTATACAAATCATCCCTCATGCAGTTCTTAAAAGATATATCCAGTCCTTATTTTCAAATATTAACACAAATCATCCATCGTTTGTTTAAAATTACACATTTCATCCCTCTAAATATAAAAAGACTATTTCTCCCTTAATAATTTCTTTTTTAATTTTCTTTTATTTGCTTAGCATTTTGATAAATAAATAACTGTAATATGGAATATACCATTATCGCTAATTTTGATACAAAATCAAAATTTTGAAATTGGATCCATCGAATCCAAACCCTCTTCAAGATCTTAAACCAAGATATTGTAACGTTTTGGTTTTTACCTCAAAAATTTTCAATTCATTTAACTCTTTTTAATAGAAAATGCAAAAGAAGTATTTTATAAAATTCATACCTTAATCAAACCACATGTTACTGTAATTCAAAAACAATCCAATTAAAACCATTTATGTTTAAGAAAAACCACTATTGATCCAAAGTAACAACCAAAACATGTCCAAGTGGTATCATCTAAATGTAAAAACAAACTACCCAAAGATAAAGGCGCCCGATCTCACCAATCCATGCTCCTAAGCTACTTGTACCTAGCCAAAGACACAGTACAAAAACAAGTGTTAGCCCCTGCCGAGTGAGTTAATAAAAGCTGCATATAGACGTATGGAAAACGTATAATTCCTAAAGGGGTCAACAATTTAGTTTATGATATAACAAAATTAAGTAACAAATACTCCTTACTAACATATACAATACACACAACAATAAATTTATCACGTACCACCAAAAGCATAACATATCACTAAAAGCATCACATATCACCATAAACATCATATTCAACCAAAAGCAATACACCAAAAGCATATCACCAAAATAATATTATAAAAAGCCTAACACCAAAAGGATGTTACTAAAGTAATATCACCAAAAGAATATCTCCAAAAGCATAACACCAAAAGGATGTCACTAAAGTAATATCACCAACAGAATATCTCCAAAAGCATAACACCAAAAGGATATCACCAAAAGCATCGTGTGAAAAACATGAATCTCTATGCACATCCTATCCTAAGGGAACTACCCAGTTCACTACTTGTGTTCCCTCATTGTTGAATGATCTAAGTGACTCATAACTTTCACCCAAAACACTAACCCCAGACATCTCATTAACTACTTCGACTTTGCGAAACACAAGTGATCCACAATGTCGTTCAGGATATGATACCAATGGTATCTTACATACATAACACTTCCAATCCAACATGATGTTTGTAGGGGTCCTCTTCAGTAGGACCTCACCACTCCAGTGCACGAACACTATAATGACAATGTACGTGTACCATATGTTGTGGGATCTTCTAGATAGATCGGGTAACTAACACCAAAATGGATTAAGCTCTTTCTTTATAAGTCCTCTTTCAACCTATTATGTCACCAAAGGTATCCGGATAGGTTTTAAGGCAAGTGTCATAAACTGCCCAACCCACAATGCAACACCCCGCAAAATTCAACAAATCATCATATTAAGCTTGAAATCTCATAAAATCAACTAATATCACCATAATCACCAAATTCATCAACAATTCACCAAATCATAACCAATTAACATCATTTCAATCAAATCTAAGTTAGCATACCATTACCATCATAATCATCAAAATAGAGTCAAATATCAATTCAGATTTAAGCATGGCAACTAGAAAAAAAAAAGAATATCAAATTAACACATAATCCTCAAACACAAAAAAATGACTAGTTTAGACATAAAGTGAATCAATGATCCATATATGAAATGTATTTTTCAACTTATGCACATTTAGTGAGTAAAACTACTAACTCACCTTAGCCTTTGTGAATCTTTTAATAACATCAAGTTTTGAGTTGCTTTGAAGATGTCAAGACCTCACCTGGTCACATATATTGTCAAGTTAATAAGTACATTCAAAGTCCATAAATTTATTGTTGGATTAGTGTCTAAGTCTATAACTATTTTGGTATGTACTTGACCCGATTATGAGCATGGTCCTTTTGTGTTGCCTTCACCATAGCAATATGTAGGATGAATTAAAGAGAGAAATGTTTAATTATGACTTATTAATATATTATGAGAATAACATATTAAAGGAGAAATCATAATGTTTAATTAATATTAGTAAATAATTAATTGAGAATTAATTTTGTGGCTAAAAGAGATTAATTAAACTTAGGGGACTGATCATGTAATTATAAGATAATTACGTAGATGGGCTAATGGACTCCATAGAAGGTGGAGCGGACCAATTATATGGGGAAGCCCATAAGAATTTGTCCAAGGCTTCTAAAGAGGGAGTTCATGGGTTGCTTAGGGCTTAAGCAGTCAAATTAGGGTTTCCTTGTTAGATAACCCTAATTACCTGCCTATATAAAGACCCCTTGAGACCCAAAAATGTGGAAAACACTTATGAAAGGGTTCTTAGGAGTTTTTGGTGCCTCCTCTCTCCTTCTCCTTCATCCAAGTTACTTAGTGGTGTTTGTGACTCCATTAGAGGTGCAAGACTTGAGGCACTAAGC